ATAACATCTCGTATTTGATAGCACAACAGGGCGACAACAGTCAAGAATTATTTAATTGTACATTTTAGAGTAACTAAAAGAGTGTAATTGAATTATTTGTAGAAAATAAAAATAAAAGGATACATGCTTGAGGTGCAATGGATTTTCCATTTACCCTGCTGTGATTATGCCACATTATAGGCCTGTATCAAATAATTGTATATACCCCATAAATACGTACACCTACAATGTACCCCCCAAAATTTTTAAAGACTTTCATTCAGAATTAACACAGTGTATATTTACAATTGAAATGAGGCTTCTTGTAACCAAGAAGAGACTAGTGATGGTTTGTTGCTGTTCAAATGGCTGCTAAGTTACCACTTAGCTAATAGTATAAACTGAGTTGTCATGGTGATATTGCTAGAAGCCATTTTAGTAAAGGATTTAACAGAAAATGAATGTCATTTGAAAGTTGCAGAAGCTAAAGTTCTCTTAATCACTACTGTCATCAATCCGTAAACTGGTTTCATTGTGTGTGTGTGTGTGTGTGTGTGTGTGTGTGTGAGAGAGAGAGAGAGAGAGAGAGAGAGAAAGAGAGAGAGAGAGAAAGAGAGAGGTGGAGTTTTGCTTTTGCTGCCTAGGCAACAATGTGCAATGGCATGATCTTGGGTTCAACCTCCACCTCCTGGGTTCAAGCAGTTCTGCCTCAGTCTCCTGAGTAGCTGGGATTACAGGCATGTGCCACCACATCTGGCTAATTTTCTATTTTTAGTAGAGATGGGTGTTACATAATATTCAGGAGGCTGGAGAGACCAATGGGTGAAACAGAAGGATTTTATTAAGGTGGCCACCAGCTCGGCGGATTTGCATCTCAAGGCTGAGAGCCTAACAAAGACAGGGCTTGATTTGTTACACAGCCAGGATGACATAGCAACTAACAGGTGTACAGAAGCCAGAGGAAAGAACAGTTAACTTGTGACGTGTCTTGTGATGTATGTTACGTTTAAAAATCGCATTTTGAGAAACACATTGCACATTTTTGGGGTATTATATTACCCTGTGACCTTGCAGCTGGTCTGAAAGAAAAATGGGAGTCTTGAGATACCTGGGAAATTTGCTGAGAAAGTAGGGAGACTAGATAAGGTAGATTTTTGTAGGGAGTTAGTTAATTTCAAGCAGAGCTGGGGGTTAGGTTTTATATTGAACGCAACAGAGTAAACTTTTATTATGTAGCAATTACAGACTACTATAGTTATTATTTAATTTCCCTCTTCAGGGGTTTCTCCATGTTGTTTCTCCATGGGTCACTCTGGTCTCGAACTCCTGACCTCAGATGATCCACCCATCTTAGCCTCTCAAAGTGCTGGGATTACAGGCCTGAGCCACTGTGCCCAGCTTGTAAACTGATTTCTTGAAGGGAGCAAAATTTGTAATGATGAACACTTAGCTCCACTATAGTGGCAGTTAAATAGATCTCAAGACCTGCAGCTAATCTGGTGGGGCTCTAGCTCTAGTTCCAAAGTAAGGGAATACACAGAGAAATGTGCAGGTGTCCACAGATATGAGCTCCAGAGACAGTGATGACAGAGATGACCAAGATGACCAATTCTACATAGTGCCGTTTGTGAACAGAAGCATCAGGAGCTATGCTCTGAAAAGGAGCTATGCTCACGATCTTTGGACATTGAAAAACATTACAACAAAGTGTTTAATGGACATTTATCTTGTCCCTCTGCTGTTGATTGTTTATAGTGGTCTCTTTTTGACTGTAAATTGAACCTTTTAAAAATTATTGTCTATCAGATTTTTCTTGAAACTTTTCAACATCTGTTAGTCTTGTTAGGATGTATTTGTCTTCAGAAACATCACTAATTATCAGGGAAATGCAAATTAAAACCACAATGTAATACCACCTTACTCCTGCAAGAATGGGCCATAATTAAAAAATCAAAAAATCATCTATGCTGGTATGGATTAGGTCAAAAGGGAATACTTACACTGCTGATGGGAATGTAAACTAGTACAACCACTATGGAAAACAGTACTGCCATTCAATCCAACAATCTCACACTGGGTATCTACCCAAAGGAAAAGAAGTCATATGAAAAAGACACATGCACCTGCATGTTGATAGCAGCACAATTTGCAATTGTAAAAATGTGGAACAAGCCTCAATGACCATCAATTAATGGGTAAAGAAAATGTGGAATATATATACCATGGAATACTGCTGAGCCATAAAACAGAATCAAATAATGGCCTTTACAGCAACCTGGATGGAGGTGAACGTAGTTATTCTAAGTGAAGTAACTCAGAAATAGAAAACCAAATATCATGTATTCTCCATGAGAATCCAAAGTCATAAAATGACAGTGGCTTTTGGGGACTAGCGGGGGAAGGTTGGGAGGGGGGTGATGGATAAAAGATTACATATTGGGTACACTGCTCAAGTGGTAGGTGAACCAGAAGCTCTGATGTCACTCCTAAGGAAATTATCCATGTAACCAAAGCCACCTGTTTCTCAAAAACGACTGAAATAAAATTTAAAAACATTATTGATAAACAACTTAAATATATACACATGTATACACACACATGTACATGTAAGTTAAACTGAGCAGCTTCTAGTCTGAAAACTTGCTGGGCTTGTAAAGGGTATGCTATTCAGCCATTTGAAAAACACCAAAAACTAAGGAGATACATATCCTGTAGGGATCATTGTTTTCTTCAATAACTACTATTAATAAACACGATCATTCAACGAAATATCATATTTTACACAGTTAAAATAGGTTTATGGAAATACAGAAAAGAGATTATGAAGTGCATATATTCCTATAGTAAATTAAGTCCTGGTCAGCTGATTATTCACATATCTGATTGACATTCCCATCATAGCCTTGTGATTATATGAATAGGAAATTAATGTTGGAAGTAGTTTCAGCTGGGTTTTCAGTGAAACCAATGAGAAAACCACATATCTGCTTATATCCTAACTGCTTTCCATACCGGAGAACTTAAAGCATTTGTTGACTTAGCCAGTGGATAAAACATTGAAACTTTAAAAGCAAGAAACCAAATGTGCTGTTGAGGTATTGTTTTTATACAATTAAGTCTTTACAGTGATTACTATGAGAGTGGTAAGATTACTCTAGTTTTATATTTATTTAAACATTTGACCAAGTGCTGGATACAGTGGCTCATGTCTGTAATACCAGCACTTTGGGAGGCCAAGGTGGGAGTATCCACTTGATCACAGGAGTTTAACACCAGCCTGGGCAAAAAGTGAGACCCTGTCTCTACAAAAAGAATTTTTAAAAATCTCCCAGTTAAGTGGCATGAGCCTGTAGTTCCCAGCCTTGAATGGCTTAGCCGCATGGGTTACTTGAGCCTGGGAGGTTGAGTCTGCTGTGAGCTAGGATCATGCCACTGCACTTTAGCCTGGGTGACCCTGTCTCAAAAAAACAGAAACAAAACCTTTGGCCAGGACAGGTGAATGATCATGCAGCAGAGGGTTGCTTCCAGCCTGTTCCCCTGTCGGTGCATTCAACTCATCCCCACATTCTGTTGTGGCCAGGGGTGACAGATGCTGAGCACCTTGTGGTTTCATTTCTAACTCAACTCAGGAGAAACACTGTAAGGCTGGCGTCCTACTAGAAGGCATCTCATAAAATGAATTCAGTTTAGCCAAGATCTTTCTACCATTGGAGGGGTAAAGAGTATTCCTGCCCCCTAATAATGACAGCTAATAAATGGCATTCATCATTTCTGTCATCTGATCACTATTGTGGTGTCTTGGGAGTGAGCATGAAGTCTGAGTTGTGCAACGGAACACTCAAGAATGAGCCCCGAGTCAGCTGCACAAGTACAGAGGAGGCCGTCGCCTTTCTCCTCATCCCAAACGTGGGGTGCTGGATTCAGAATGGACTGCAAGCAGCCATGCCCTGTTTGGACATTAGCATAGGAACCCACCTGCATGTGTTTCAAAACAGAATTTGGAGTCATTCTAGTAGCTCAGTGTGATATTTTTAAATAACTAGAGAAAAGTTTTGTTAACTGACAACAAAAACAACTGCCATTAAATGCATATAGTATTGTTTAAAAAGTATCTACAAAATTGTAACCTCAATGTTTTCTTGCAAAAGAAGTTAAAGTAATACAGAGACCCCTTCAAATGAAGAATCACTGAGAAACAGAAGTAGGATAACATTTACTTATGTATCTTTTTGAAGATTATACAAGAATGAATTTGCATCAGGCGTTTCAATTTATGAACATTAGTAGGATTTCCCTCTAGGGAAAGTTTTCACATCAATGTTGAAGAAATTCTTAAAACTGTAAACTTTTCTGTATTTGGTAATCTACCAGGGTTCCAATCCAATGTGCTTTCTTATATTTATAAGGTCTATCTCCAGTGTGTATTATCATGGGTCTTGGAGCAAATATCATGTAAATGAAGGCATTTCTACATTCTATACATTCATAGGTTTTATTTCAGAAATGAGTTCTTATCTTCATGTGGAACTGGAACAACTGAAGACCTTATCACATGTTTCTATTTATAAGGAATTTCCCATTGAATCCTTTCATGTTTTCAAAGAAATAAAAAAGCTGAAGCTTTGCCATGTGTCTTAAGATTATGTCATTTTTCTCCATATTCAATGTGAAATATGTCTTTGAAAGCATAGGGGAAAATCAAGTTTATTAAAACAGTTTTTACATTCGTGTTTTGTTTCCGGTACAAGTTTTTTTCTGAGTTTTTAAAGAGAATTGGGAAAGTTGCATGCTTTCTTGTATTTCTTCGCTAGATCGGGTTCTGTCCAGTGTGAGTTATTTCATGAATTCTATGAGCACTTGAGAGCTTTACCACATTTCTTACACACGAATAACGTTTTTGGAGATAGCCCAGTGAACTAACATGGTCCTGTGATGGTTTTGTTGTGTTTCTCTTTCCCCAGGAATGAGTTGCAAAGGTACTTCCTGGAGCTAATTAAAAATAATGTCGACGTTCCTCTAAGCGTTTATACCGGACACTATTTCTGTCTTCGTGCCTTGGCATTAAAGCATGGCCTGGGTTTGCCAACTTACCTTCTTGACAGAGAAAGAGCATGGGATCTGGAGGTAAGGCTATGAAGTTACTAAGTGGGTTTTCAGTCAAACACCAGTTCCAACATTTATGACTAGGTCATATGAAGTAGTGATTAGAAAAATGGAAAGCTTCAAAATTAACATACTGAAGAGCTTATTAACCTTTCGGCATTCTATTTCCTGTATCTCTTATGGTTTTTATAAGGATTCATGTTTTTTGAAAATTATAGATATTATCTCTTTTGTGGACATAATTCAGAATGTTTTAATCAAATTAAATTCATTCTTAATGAATTTGAACGTTTTGAAACTTTGCCCTTGCAAATAGTCATACAGAAATGATTTCTTGCCATTGTATTTCTAACGATGTCTGCATACGTAATGAACTTACCACTTTGACTGCTTTTTATTACTCAGTTTGCAAATTTCTGTCATTTTCTACTGTGTATACCACAGTGCAGTCAGTCCCATGGGTGTGTTAGACAAACCGTTAGTGCCTAAGCCGAGAGACATGCACTTAGACAGTATGAGGTGTGCATGTCTCAAGTACCGGCTCAAGGAAGTACATGGGATTTTACTGGAAATGATAACTTTTATGGAACAAAGTAATATTTCTGGTTTGTGACTTTTGGTAAGTACACAGCAAAATTACTCACAGCTGACAAGGATGAACATTTAAAATAGGCATGTTCTGTGGCATCGTGGAAGTATTTTAAAATAATACAATTTTCTACCATAATCATGAAAGTAGTGCCTTTTGATGCTTAATCATTAGACTTTGTTGACATTTCAGTACAATCGAGCACATGCCTGCCTGGTTACAATTTTCTTTCAGTATATAATAACTCTGTAGATTGGGTAGAATGTGAATAGATTATTAATAAACTAACTTTGCAAAAGTGCACTTTTATTATTTTTAAGGCACAAGTGCACAGGTAACAGATGATAGTGTTAGAAGCCTGACACAATACAATGACATTCTTGGGAGCCCAGTTTTTAAGTAACTTGATAAAGCAAGCTCCCCTTTGCTCCAGCAATCTAATTCTAGCCCTGAAAGGAGATGACCTAAGTAAGCTGCCAGAAGTTGGCAGTGTAAACCTCAGCCGAAGTAGCTGTAGCTGAACTATCTAAAGGAGTCTGCATGTGTGGCTTCTCATCAGTGGTGATTGTTAAAAGGATGGAACCCTTTTTAAAATTGTACCTCTTTTCTATTTGACATTCTTAGGCTTTATCAAGGATGGAACAAGATGAAGTGTTCTATACTGCTCGAAAGGCCGGGTCTTTGAGTGCTGGTGACTTAATTGGTCTTCAGCGCGCTAAGGCCGTCCTCTCCTGAAGGAAGAAATGAGGGGTAATATAACATCTGAACCCCTCACCAAAAAAGACAGGAAAATACCACCTCTCCTGCTAAATAACTAGAAAAGTTTGTATTTTCAAAAGAAGAAATACCTCAATTCAAGTTAACTCAAGGACAACTAAGATTGCACTTTATAGTAAAGAATGGGACCTTGTCAGGGCAACAACACAGTCTTCCACTCTTCTGTCCCTTTGAATGTAAACAGTGTTATAGAAACCACTCCAATGTGAAGGCTCCTTCTGCCCACTCACAGATACTTGCGTAATGCGTTGGCTGATAGCTGTGAACTGTGTCAGGCTTTTTCTGTTTTGTTTTCAGATGAGTCTCTGTTACCAGGCTAGGGGGCAGTGGTGTGATCTCGGCTCAAGGCAATTTCCACCTCCCGGATCCAAGCCATTCTCCTGCCTCAGCCTCCCTGCTTAATTCAATGTTTTATTTTAAGTAGCTGGGATTACAGGGGCACCCGGCCTATGTAAGGCTTTTAAAACAATGGTTTAAATTTTTAGATTTTAAAAGATAACTTTGATTTTTAAAATATTTTTTCTTTTCCCCCAAATTGCAGTATTAGTATTAAAACATGTCAAAGGAGTTCATGAATAGCACAGTCTTTTCTTCCTGAGGGTCCTCCCCTTCAGGTGTCCCGGCCTGCTCGCAGCAGCCATAGATGGGGCCTTTATACTGACAGAAGCTACAGAGCGCTGGAAAGCTGAGAATGCACAGGCAGGCATGATCAGAGTTGAGAATAGGAGGCGGGTTGTGATGTCCTCTGTGAGGGAAAAATTGTTATTGTCCTGGGGCTGTTTCTAGATATTGTCAAATAAATTCAGATATAGGTAAGACGTGACTTTATTCTAAAGGAGTATTGCAATGGGGAAAGCTCCAAGCATCAGATCTGCAAGCATCTCACAAGAGGCAGAAAAGGGCTATTTTTTACGGAGGAGCAAACAAGGTTAGAAGTAAGGTGGGAGGAAGAGTGGAGAATGGCAAAATCAGATTCAAGCTTAGGGAATGTTTCAGCCAGAAGTCAGCCTGTTCTTAAGAGGGGCATAAACGGGGTTTGTATGTTGGCTCAGACTGAAGGCAGAGCAGAGTCCAGGAGCTGGGGAAAGGAGAGAAACTTAAGCAAAGTTGTGATGGAACCCAGGAGGCAAAGGTTGCAGTGAGCCGAGATTGCACCGGTGCACTCCAGGGTGACTGAGTGAGATTCTGTCTCATAAGTAAATAAATAAACATTTTAAATAAAGTCTTGTTTTAACCAATTATAGCTTGTATTTGTGTAATTTTGTTAATATAAAAGACCCACCTCTGGAAAGACTATTAGGATTTTGTTCTTACTCATATCCAACTAAATTATACCACCCCATTTTCTAAAAAAAAAAAACAACAACAATGAAGTTTCCATTAACTAATCTTATCAACTTACACAGATGATTGACAACATGCTTAGACTTTCTGTTTTGCCTAAATATTCTTTTTCTTCAACAACCTGGTCATTTTATTTTAGGACAAAAAATTTACCGCACAAGATTCCTTCTTACATAAAATTGCTTTTTTTCACCTTTATCAAAAATACCTCTTTATATCTTTAACTTTCTTCTCTTATTTCCTGGTTCCTATTACCTCATTTTATACATAACTTTTTATAAAAGCTTTGAATTAGACAAAGATATTGACCTCCTAATAAGAACATTTTAAAAGTGTTTTCCTACATTTTTTGAGTTGGAAATTACCCAGCTACTTAATATCTGTTGGTAATCTTAGATACCAAATCATATGACAAGTCTGTTTACAACCATTTATTCCATTACATTTACAACATTATTTAATATGTTATCTAGATTATGACAACTGTGATAGTCATTATTTAAAGTAAATTCCCTGTTAACCATTTTTATAGCTGTGAATTTCAGGTGTTTAAGTAATTTTCTTTTTTTGTTTGTTTGTTTGAGACAGTTTTGCTTTTATTGCCCAGGCTGGAATGCAGTGGTGCAATCTGGGCTCACTGCCACCTCCACCTCCTGGGTTCAAGTGATTCTCTTGCCTCAGCCTCCCAAGTAGCTGGGACTACAGGTGCCTGCCACCACACAGGCTAAATTTTTTTGTATTTTTAGTAGAGACAGGGTTTCACCATGTTAGCCAGGCTGGTCTCGAACTTCTGCCATCAGGTGATTGGGCCCCCTCGGCCTCCTGAAGTACTACCAAATTAGAGGCATGAGCCACCGCGCCCAGCCTGTTTAATTTTCTTAAGGTTAAATATAAGGGTATTTTACCAATAACTGAGAATGTAGATGTTTTCATTAAACCAAATTATTCCATGTCTTTTTTTTATCAAAAATTACACAAGCAAAGATCATTCTGCCTTGGGCGGGGTTGTATAGTTCTATAACCCTTATAACAAATCTTCTTAGTATTCTGCAGGAATAAGCATGAAATCACGTGATCAACAAATGCAAACAACAATGCTAGAAATTTTCACAGGGTTTCTAACACTTTCTCAATAATTTGAAAGCCAGCTTATTTATAAAAGATTTTACTTGTAACATAAATGTGAAAAAGCATTTAACTAGTCTTTTTATTGACAAAATGGTTGACTTATATACTTGTATTTCTTTAAGCCAATGACTTAGAGCTCTCTATAGTAGAGAAATACTGTGTACACAGCACATAAATACATAAATCTATTTGGCATGCTGTCAGAAATATGACTTACAGATTCATGAGACCTCTTTTCTTTCTCTGTCATAGACTTTTAAATTTTTTCATTTTTATTTATCTAAATAGTTTTTGAGGTGACAGGTGTTTGGTTATGCCACAACAAAATCACCACCACACACACAAAAAAAAGATAATTCTTTACATTTTATTTCAAAATGAATAATTGAAATAATTTTAAGTTTTTATTTCTAACACTTGGTACTAGTGGTGGCTTGTTTTTGAAGAAAGATTGATTGAGCATTTAATATTATTTGGACCATATGTAGAAAACAGTTTCTGCTTTCTTGTTCTTCAGTGGTGGTTGTTGAGATTTTGGTGCACTCATCACCTGAACAGTGTACACTACCCAATGTGTAGTCTTTTATCCCTCACCCACCTCCTGCCCTTTTCCCCAAGGCCCCAGAATCCATTGTATCATTCTTATGCCTTTGCACCCTCATGGCTTAGTTCCCACTTATGAGTGAGAACCTAAGATGTTTGGTTTTCTATTCCTCAGTTACTTCACTTAGAATAATGGTCTCCAGTTTCATCCACTATATTGTTCCTCTTCATGGGTGAGTAGTATCCGTGGCATAAATGAGGTCTAGGGAACTCCAAGGCTACTGAGAGTAGGTGGGCTAGAGACATGGGTAAGAGTGGATAATTGCTATTCTCTAGGCCCTCCCTGCTTCATGAGTGCAAGCTGCGTTAGCAGCCCTGGGTGGCACCTGCCAAGGCTGCTGGGACTCAGGGATGCAAGGACAGAAGAGGGAAAGAGGACACCCTTCTCTTCCTCACATACCCAGGGTATATCTGCTAGGAAAAGAGGGAAATCAGGTGTGCCTGCTCCCCTGTTTTTAGATGGGTAGCCATCCATCTTCCATCTGTACCCCTTTGAAATCCATCCTGAGCCCCTGGGACTCCTTTGAAAAAAGATCTTTTTCTTTCTCCTCTTCTGTCCTGTCTTCACAGAGAGGTAATTCTGTCTCTATACTATCAGACACTTTCCTCAGATGTATCCTCCAAACTGAGAAAAGTTAAGTTTTCAAACCTTAAGCTGGTTGGCTTAGGATTGGGCTCAGGAGAAGGGAACCCAGAAACACAACATGCTGGCCAAAGGACCAAGTTTCTTTTTACCAGTGGGGTTTTTGGCCTCCCTCTCCTGTGCAAGCTGGTAAAAGGCCTTGGGACTTTTGAGCGGTCCTTACCCCTCCCCTTATTTTGATTCACTTTGATTTGTTTTGTTTTGTTTGAGAAAGAGTTTCTCTCTTGTGGCCCAAGCTGGAGTGCAATGGTGAGATCTT